GGAGAAATCTCATAAATGCTATTTCAGTTATATGGTTAAAGTTAACATACCAGTGATGTTATGATGATGGTATGTCATCTTTTTATAAAGCAAGGGAATAGCAATTTGCCTCCTTGGTCTTTACCCCAAGTACTTAAAACACTGGTCTAATATTAAGGAAATATTAAGTTAATCTCACTTCAGAGATGGTATGCAAAATTCCTCATCAGTCTTCCCCAAAAGTATCAAGATCATCAAATCCAGGAAAATCTCAAAAATTCTCAGAGCCAAGAGGAACCTAAGTAAAACTGAGGACTAATGTGGTATGTTGGGTAGGATCTTGGGACAGAAAAAAAGGATGTTTAGGAAGAGCTAAGAAAATGTGAATAATGTATTGACTTTAGTTACTATTAATATATATATATATATATATAAATATATATATATATATATCAATGTTGGTTTAGTAATGGTGAGAGATGTATATTATGAATATAAAATGTTATTGACAGGGAACATTAGGTGTGAAGTATATAGTAATTCTTTACCATCTCTTTATTTTTCTACAAATATTCTAAATTTAAATGTTTATTTAAAAATTGGACCAAAATTATTCCACAGCAGAGAATGTTACTCTCCTAAAGTTTCAGTATCTCCTGTATTATTCCACATGAATATTTTCACATATGGAAAAGCTGCAACTCAGAGTTGTATAAACTATTTTGTTATTTCCACAACTTCATTTCTTTAGTAATTTTCCCAACTTCTTGCATAGGGACAGTAATAGTTTTATGATTTGACATCATTCTATAACATTTTACAAGCAGAAATGTTCTAAGTCATCATTCTCATTTGATACCAGTCTTCCTTAATAAAAGGTTGAGTGGACAGAGAATGAGCTAAAGGTATCAGTGAGGGAGGCAAATAAGATAAATTGAACATGCCCCTTGATGCTGACAAATCTGGTTACAGTTATTGTAATGTGCATGATACCTATAAAATACCTTGCAGTGGTAGAGGATTGCTGCCACTCACAATTTGTGCATCATCATTATGTCCCCAGGGGCTGTCAGTGTCCCCACTTTCATAAGCTTTACCCATGTAATGCAAAGATGTTCTTGTCACAGAGGAAATTATTCTGAACTATTCTGAGCTCAGAAGTGATGTTATTCTCCCATTCTGAACCATTATTTTAAAGGACATTTTTAGCCTCTGAGAAAACTGAATTTGAAAAACAATGGCATTTGTTAAATCAAACAGTTTTTGAAAGCTATATAATTTATTTAACATTGATGGATGCTAGTAAATATCAAAATATTTCACCTTAGGCTAGTTATGTCTGTGTTGATTTTTATTTGATAGCTTCATTTTGGAATGGTTGATTGTTTGAAAGCATTGATTCAATTTTTAAAATATGTGCATCTATAGATGAAATAAACTGAGTTTTGAGTAATACTATGTATATATATATATATGCCATTCATTCATTCATCTATCCGTTCCTTGATTATTTATTAAATATCTGTATGATAAGCAGTTTTCTACCCCAGGAAACATAACAGTGAACTAAACTAAATAATCCCTTGCCTTTGTGGATCATAATGATAAATATAATTTTCTATTTCTATTTTTTTAATTATGAATAGAAAATCGGCCATACCCTCAATTCATTAGGTGAAAACTGCTATCTTTAGGAAATGTGCTAATCTAAAATGATATTTGTATTTTAGTAAAGTGAGCAAAGAACTTTGAAGACTTAGGTTTGCTTTGTATTTACACTACTATATAATGCAATAAATATACAGTGGTAATAGGAAAATAAGATAATTCATTCTTGAACAAATCCATTAAAAAATTCATTGTTCTCCTTAGTCCTCTCTTACTACTTTAGTAAATTTACTGTTTTGTTACATATGCTACAGTGGACCAGGGGTCCAAAGCTTATTCTTAACCTTTTGCCATATTTTTTTTTTGGATGCTTTATCCTCAGTGCTAACTAGGGCATGATTATCCTCACTGGGAATCAATAGGAACTAACTTCAAACTTATACTAGAATGTTAATGTGAGAACTGCCAGTCAATTATTGTTTCCATGGAAGTAAACAAACTGCATTTCAATACTGCATATGGACTATTTGGGCTTTTTTATGCACACATTGTGTCCTATAGTATTAAAAAAAATTTGTGAACCTGACATTTTAAGAAAAGAAGACAAAGCTGAGAATGTGCATTCTCTGCACCAAAATATCACCATTCTCTGAAATTAAGAGAATAAAAATTGGTATATAAAACATTAACTACTGTACTTAAATATTGCTCTATTACATATTTTATATAGATTTGTATTTTCATTGAAAGAAATATATTTTACTCAAAATTTATTTTTTTAGTTTGTTGTCATTGATCAAAAATGATAAAAAATTATCCATTCTGCACATATTCTTTGGCATCTTCTCTGTCCTAGACATTGTTCTAGATGCTAGAGATTCAAGAGTGGACAAAATAATCAATATTTCTGCCGTTATCAAACACATTATAGTTGGAAGGATTGAAACAAACAAAAATATACTTAAGTTATGTAGTATGTCAGGTGGTGATATATAACAGCTATGGAGAAAAACAAGACTAAAGAAGCAAAAGGAATGTAGAGCTGATGGGAGATGAGAGTCACTTACTAGAGTAAGTTGAGTAGACATGAATGACCTCTCTGAGAAACTCAGTGAAGGTGAAGGAGGGAGCCATGAGAAGCTGGGGGAGAGCACTTCTGAAAGCTGGAAAGCCCTGTATACATATCTCTCAGCAGGAGTGTGGCAGCACAGCAAGTCACAGAGTATGGAGCAGAGCTGGTGAAGAACAGCAAGAGGTCAAAGCCAAGAAGATGCTGGGACCAGACAGCCATGATCCTTGTACACACTGTACAGCTGGGTTTCCCCTTTAGTTGATGCAGAATCACTGGAGGGTTTTAAGTAGAGGGTGAAATGATCTTTCTTTTGCTTTAAAATAATCAGCCTCTCCCCCATCCCAAGTTAACTGTGTTGTTTTTTGAGTCTAACATGCATTCCTTCTAAACATTGTTCTTGCAGTCTGTTGTTCTAAGTGGTACTTCTAGTCTCCTAGAGTGGTACCTCTAGATTGTTTTCTGGAAATGTCCAAAAAAATTGAATATGACAAATCACAGTGTGTTATTTTGTCTGGACAAAGCTAATAAAAAGCAAAATAGTCAGAAGTGTGTTTGTGTGTGTGTTTGTGTATGTGTGTGTGTGCATTTACGTAATTTAAACTCACCAGGTGTTCCTTACTACTTAGATGGAGCTGTTACTCTGATTATATAATACACACTGTGGCTGACATCTTTTACATTATAGAAAATACTGTCTGTCTTTCTATCCACACATGAACAAATGAAGTCAACCCACCATATCAGTAAATTTCACTTCTTTGGATTCAATCATTTTCAACTTATGACTTGAAAATATTTTGAAAAAAATGCATCTACATTGAACATGCACAGATGATTTTTGTCATTATTCCCTAAGCAATAGAATGTTTCAATAGAACGTTTACTATTTATATAATATTTACATATTAATACATGTTATAAGAAATATAGATAAGTATATGAGATATATGTATGTTATATGTAAATGTCTTGTGCTGCTAAATGAGAACTGAGAAATTCATTATTTAGTGACTTTGTAATGTGTGAACATCAAAGAGTGTATTTAACATAAACTAAGATATTTATGGCTTCACTAGTCAASACAAGGACCCAATAATCAGTCTTATGTGTGTGACAAATAACTATACTATATGCCATTTTTATGAGGATTTGATCATCAGTGCATGTTGTTGATTGCAGTCCTGAAACCAATTTTCTGTGCATGCTGAGGGATGACTGCATATAAACACACACATATGATAGTTTATGATAGTTTTTCCTGTGTCTTTTATAAAAGGTAAACCCTGCAAAAATAAAGGTAACCTACATCAGAAAAGATATTAGTCAATTCTTTACTACATCAAACCCAAAGTCTATACAAGTCTCAGCAGATTGAAAAAATGGACATTGACTCATAGATCCAGATGTTTTGTGAACTCTCATATCTTAAATGTATGTGAAATCTCATACACATTTTCTATTTTTATTAGAAAAGTAGTTATCTCAGACTCTAAGCAGATAATAATTAACATTGCAAGTGACTGTGATATTATGTAATTGGGGGGGAGTGGAAATCAAAGAAATCATTTATTCTCTTTGCTGTTGATTTCAAGATATATGGCATATTTAGTAACATTTTAAGGAAAACTTTGACTAGATTTAATATATGAATTTATTTACAACTACAGGACCCAATGTTATAATAATAAATGTTCAAGAGCTTTAACGTTGTGAAAATGTGGTAATACAGGTAATCATGCATCTGTATTATGCAGAGTCCATACATTAAAAATAATCCATAAATTTTAGAAACAGAAGATACATAAGGTCTTTTTTTCTATATAAAAGTAACTTATTTTATACGTCTTTCTGAAATGTATTGAGATAATGAAGACCTAAAATTCTATGTTCCTACAGTTTTATTATGAGACACTTCACAAGGTGGTGAGCTAGTTTATATTTGTAAAACACTTAATAATCTTATTTTGTTTTTTGGTACCAGGGATTGAACTCAGGGGCCCTTAACTACTGAGTCAGATCTCCAACCCTTTTTATTTTTCAATTTGAGACAGGGTATCACTAAGTTGCTTGGGGCCTTGCTAAATTGCTAAGGCTGGCTTTGAACTTCCAATCCTCCTGCCTCAGTTTTCCAAACCTCAGGGATTACAAGTGTGTGCTACACCTGGAAATCTTTAACACCTTATATAGAGAAAGTCAAATTGTTGCCAGATTAAAAGAAAATTTAATCATTTGTGATTTTTATGATATGATATCCTAAAATGCTAATACATATAATACACAGAAGAGGTTATATTTCAGGGCTGTATTAATCATGATATTCTTTATTTGTATTCTTTTGCAGCCCCCTCTCCAGTCACCAATGTGAAAAAGGGGAAAATTGCAAAAAATAGCATTTCTTTGTCTTGGCAAGAGCCGGATCGCCCCAATGGAATCATCCTGGAGTATGAAATTAAATATTTTGAGAAGGTGGGAATAACAGAATTAAAAATGCCCTTTCCGTTGTTTTTCCATTTTAGCAACCATAATTATCCAATTTGTAGAAGTGTATGTTGCACTTTTACGTGTAAATCAATGACAATTGATTCTGCAGTCATGATGATTGAGGCTAGATGTGTACAGGGAGCACTCTATTCATGTTCTGCTGCAAGTAATTTATGCTCCTGGATACCCCCATATAGTCTAGCGTCAGCTTAACTAGTTTCACAGCCCATGAAAGATGAAGTCATAGGACATTTTGAAAGTGTTGAATGCTCTTAAGCTATTGCTTTTCAGTAGCAAATGCAGCATGCTACGAGGAATACTGTGTGTACTGACAGCCAGTAAATTGCCACAATACTATATGGTTAAGGATGGCTGGGTAGGTGAGGCATGGGTGACATAGAATTTTTTCAGTCTCCTAACATGTATCTAACACTGTCATGTAAATCTTACATTAAAATTTGAGGCTAAATTCTTAGAAATGCATTTCTTACATTCCTTATATTTTCTTGATTTCCTCTTTCCCTAAATTCTTTCCTAGGTTCACTGTTTTGTATTTCATAGTTAATTGTTGAGATCTAAGGATAGTAATCATCTTCTTCTTTTTTGAATCCACAATCAAGTAAGCTATAGATAGTGGAATCATATGGGTGAGAGCTAAAGATAAACTTTAAACTTCTAAAGCTGGACAAGAGTATGTGAACAAGATATGTAGCCACCATTAGTCTTCCACCACACCTTATTATAGTGTGAGTTTTGCACAGCCTGGAACTGAATGACGTATATTCCTTAGAACAACCTGAATTTTAACAAAGGGGAAGGAGCTAGATATATGTGCCCAAGCCAGCTTCTAAGAGGTGAACTGGAGACCTTGAACAGAAAGTGCTGTTTCAATTGAAATACAAGTGGAAAATAACACAGACATAGTGTGAACAAATAGATCCCCAAAGAGAAGCTCATTTTTTTTTTCCCCAAAAAGCACAGAGACATCACTCCTTACTTTTTAGGAAAGAACAAAGAAAATTGGAGATAGTACAAAAAGTTACTCAACAATACTCAAGGAAATTGCTCAACTTAAGATAATGAAAAAAAAGTGGGGAGAGGACAGTGGTTCTTTTCATCATCATATAGAACACTAGTGAAAACAACTTAAAAGTCTAAGATTTTAGGCATATGCATAGAAAAAGGGTTCAAGTAAATATGTCAAATTTTAATTTCTCAGAGTATTATAAAGATTTTAAAAACTGCTTCCTTTGTTCATAAATTCAGCAATTAACTAGGAAAAGACACAACAAAGTATAAAACAGTAGTAGGGGGCAGGGAGCAGGAAAGCAATCTACATGTAGTTTCTATAATTTGAATGCCTCAGCAATGTTCATATATTGATTTCATTAGTTGTTTTGTTTTGTTTTTGTACTACTGGGAATTGAAACCAGCTTGACGCATGCTAGGCAACTGCTTTGCCACTGAGCTGCATCCTCAGCCCTCATATATTTATTTTGTTAATAATTGAATTGTCAATTGCTACTTTTGAAATAATCATCTTTTTACAAATGACTTAATGATAGAATTACCTTCATTAGATCATTGGGGAGTATAAATGATGATACTTAAATTTCACAAAAATATGTTTCCCAAATGTATTATTCACTAAGAGTGCTCCAAGAAAATACTTATATAACAACCTATATTGAGATATAGTTTACAAAGCTTCTTATTGACAAAAATGGAATTAATGTAGTAGAATGTAGTAACATTAATATTCCTGACTGATTCATTTTTGTCTGTGATTGTACTCAAAAACAGCATGCAGTTTTCAGAGAATTACAATGTAAATACTTACTCTATTAAAAATAATTTGTAAAATTAATGTTACATTTATATTCCCTAATTAAGTTTTTGTAAGCCTTATTTCTCTATAAGCATGAAAATGTATGTATAATTTCACACACACACATATACATATATTTGCAAACACATGTTAAATTCAGCTGTATGTTCTCTAAAGTTAAAATTTTAATTATTATTAAAGTGGATTTTCAAGAAAGCTGAAATGCATCATGAAAATTTAAAACAATTAAATGGCAAAAACTCTGTGTTTGAATATATTCTTATGTCTTAGATGAAAGAAAATTTAACAGTAGGAAGACAAAGGTTTTGTTTGCCTCCATTTTTTTTTTCTAGTAAATCAACCAACTGGACTAATGAATGGCTTATTTTATGCCAAAAATAAGAAATCATCCTTTTTCCTCTTATTAGTAAACTTGTATTATTTTTGTTACCAATTCCCACCATATATATAAAATGTTCCATTGGATATTCAGAAGGAACAAGGATTTAGCCCTCTTCTTTTTCTTCAAGTTGCTGCTTCTATAAGAATGAAGAGTTAATCAACAAGTGATAAGCAGGATTCCTTTTCTATTAATATTTCTTCTAGTGTATTTAATCCATGTGGAGGAATGATTGTCTTTAGAGATCAAATTTATTTTTGGATTATATTTATTTTAAAATGATTTTGTTCTTTGATCAAGCCAGATTACTGAGCACACCCATGCACACACAAAAGATTAAAAAAAAAAAAACACTTTTAGGAAAAAGAAGAAAAAAATACAAGGATAATGAGCTTTTATAACATGTATTGAGGTGGGGGTCTTGGTAGATTTCCAGAGCTCATTTAGAACCTTCAAAATGACACCACCATTTTATTGAATGGCTTTTGGCCAGACACAGGTGGCAGAGCTTTCCAGGGCACATGCATTTGCCAGCTGGCATTTCTGCCTGTGATTGCCTTGCTCTAATAGAGGTCATTGGGCTTCTCTGCTCTGGTGTGGTAATGGGCCTATTGCCATCCTTTAATTAAAGGCAGAGGAAAGGGAAGCTGCCCCTTAGCAGGGTGTTTGCCAGCTGGCTCCTTGTGCTGAGTCCCTCCCCTCGCTACATGTGAACAGTGTTTGCTAAGCAGCTGGGGAATGTAGCTCATTTGCTCAGCTGGGGCAGGAAGGCAGCAAAAGCCAATGCCCTAACCAGGGATTTGGAAGCCTGGTAATTGTGGGTGTTGAAGAGGTATATACAGAATTTGTGAGGTGAAGAAAATTATAACATAAGAGTATTTTAAAGGAGTGAAATAGAAAGAAATTTTGGAAGATATTTAGATCATTAATAACATGTATTCATTGGTCTTGATCTCTTAGATATATGTTTTGCTCAATTCTTTTTAATAGTTGCATTCAGCTAACTCAGCAAGACAATGAATAATTATACTCTAGATAAGGAACAATTGAGATATAATGTTAATAATTAAATAATGCCAGAATGTTGTCTTTTTGTGAAATTTGAATTGCGTCTCACATTATTTCACAGAGTAGCATTTCAGTATTCTTGTAATTCTGTTTCCCTTTTTCCAAAACTAATAATTCCAAAATTTTTTACAAAATGTACTCACTATACCTTTAATAGTAAGGATTTACAACCATGCAAGCTTTTAAAATTTGTTTTGATTTTTTTCTTTTGCAGCAGAAGAATTTACCATCGTTTTATGTGTTAAGAATACCCAAATTAAGTTAAAAATTCTATGATATTGTGGAGATTATACTTGGTGCTATGTGTTTTATTTCTATCATATCTCCTCCCAGTTATCTTGATAAATAGTTTCATCACCACTGTAAAGAAGAAAAAATGGCTCCAGAGTTGGTACCCACATTTGCAAATACACTTGTTATGACTGAATTTCTAACACTGTTATGTCTGCACTTTTAAAAATTCTTCCCATTATATGTGGTAACATTGTGTGTAAAATCCATAATTATATCAAATTTATAAAAAATCCCACATTACTTTTGGCTAGATTTTTTTCCCAAGTTAAATTCCCTTTTATCAATTGGAAATGATATCAATAACCAGATATTTAATCATTTCTTACTGAAAGCTACTATTTTAATCATAACCAAGCTGGGACGTAAATATTAAACTGAATAATATTGAGAATTAGTACACAATATTATCAGGTTTAGTGAGTCAAGAATATGAGTATTCTCAGAACAATCAGTAACTAAGATAGGTCATAAAAGCTATTTACAATATTTCAAAGGAACACATCAAGAAATCATCTGCTTTTTACTGCTCTCATCCTAGCATGTAGAAGGGACAACAGAGCTCATAAGAGAAAGAAGATCAATAAATGTTTGTTGATGAAAAAATGAAAATTCGAGGTACAGTTTTTCAGGATTTTGTAGGATTTACCTATTTGAAATTCCTTGCAAAATTGAAATAAAATTTCCTAAGCCTTTAAAAGACTAGACACTTAAATTAATCTGTGCGTTAAAAAAGTAAAATTAGCCATGTGTCTAGTATGAACTCAAAAACCTATTTCAATGAGAAATTAGACCATTCTTATTTAGAGAGTAATTTGGGTATACTTAATTCTGAGATATTTAATATGCTTAAACATATTAAATAAGGAACGGTAAATTGCTTAATAATAAAAAGGTCCTAAGTCATTTACTTTAGGTAGTATTGGTGGTGGTATAGAAAGTGGCTAGAAGTCAACTTTGGCATACTGAATTATGAAAAAAAGAGAAAACATTTAAAACAATAATTATGAAAATTAAAAATGTTTTTTGGTTTATTATGTGTTTTCACACATATTATGTGTTTCGTTCTTACAACATTTATGTGAGAAAACTCGAGCAAAAATTCCTACCCCAAGTTGTACAGATAAATAAACTTGATGATAAAAGTAAAAATTAACCTGCTATATTTTAGCCAGTGATTTCAACATCTACTCTAAAGCCAATGAGTAACCTCAGAGAGCTTTGGAAGGTTAGCATAGACTTCTGTGAGTAGCCCAAATTGGGACAGTTTACTTTAAGTTTCCAAACTTGTTTTTCCAGTCATTTCTTTACTGCTCTATCTCCATTCAGTATTTTCCATACCCCTTGCATACAATAAGAATTTTTAAAAGGAAAATAAAAAGTATTTTTTTATTTGAGTGTTCTCCTTAATGCTAACTGTTTAGGCAGAGTGAATTGAAATAAAAATTCTCCGTTAAAGTACTAATTTCTCCCCTAAGCTCTAAATATAATTAAAAATTTAATTCACTGACGTTTTAAAGCTTAAGACTAAACATATATGAAATACTGTCAGTTTTCCTCTATGAAGAGGCAACATGTTAGATACATTCCAATAATACATTTTGAGAAAAATCAGCATACATTAATAATAATAAAATAAAGTCTGGAAATAATCTCCTGCAAAATTGCCTTTTAAGATTTTTAAAAATTTGTTTCTRTCAAGGGCATGAGCATATATTATGGATGAGTAGAAAGCATGTTACTTTCAAAACCTCAAGTTCCAACAACATTGTAAGATCATATTTATATATATAACACAGTGAGGGTGTATGAGATTTTTCCAAAATAGGTTTGAGCTAATAGAAAGTTCATTGGTTTCTAGTTCATTTCTAATATACATTTCTAAGTTTTGTCATTAGTAATTCATATGTTGAATTTTTTATTGTATGTACATGTGCAATCCAAGGACCAAGAGACCAGCTACACAATTATCAAATCGAAAGAGACCACTATTACTGCAGAGGGCTTGAAACCAGCTTCAGTGTATGTCTTCCAAATTCGAGCACGTACAGCAGCAGGCTATGGTGTCTTCAGTCGAAGATTTGAGTTTGAAACCATCCCAGTGTGTAAGTCATTTTAATTACTGTCAACTCATGTCTCTGTAATGGTTAACAGAAAAGAGTCAGTGGATCAATACCCTCCCTGGGCACTCTGTCAGTTTCACTCTCCTTCCCTCTCTCCCAGGCGTGACCCCTTCAGGTAGGAAGCATCTGTCATGCTGTTATGGTAGGTCAGCAGGTTAACACTTGGGGTCCTGCTCCTCATTGCATTTAGTCCTTTGGGACATGGTATATCAGGAAATCCTTAAGAAATGTTTAAAGCTTGCATCTAAAGACTTTGTTTCCACTGCTGCCATACTTTATTGAATTATTGCCATTTACTTTTTACATGTTTTGTTGAACTATGCTACTTTAGTTTAAGAAAAGAAAATTCCTCAGCTTTCTTGATGTTGAATTTGGCAAGAAAATGGTGCTCTCAGTAACCTATCTGCTTTCTTAAAAATATATTTATTAAATATTTTGCAGTATCTTAGAGTGGAGAATCTGGAAATGTTTCCCAAATTCACTTTGGTATTCTTTTATTTTCCCACAAAATTGCATATTTTTTTCCTTTTAACTTCAACAAAAAATAGAGATTACTAATTTATCCTAAAGATAAAAGCAAGATTGGAAAAAATGAATAACTTTACCTTTTTATAGATGAAAGAATGAATACTATTAAAATTTCATTTTGAAGAAAATAACATACAGGAATGCTGCAAAATGTCAAGAGTGTATATATATATATACTTTTTAAAGCCAAATTATGTAAAAATTAGTGATTTTAAAATGAAGAAGATAAAAATGAGAATTTAGTTATTGGTTTGCTTTTATAATTATTAAATGATTATTAAAGTAAATATTCATAACATTTAGAAAATCAAGATATACTTCTAATAAATATGTTTAACTAAATTATGAAGAAAGAATTTTTTCAATAGTGTAAATGGAAGAGAATAATGTCATGAAAAAATTATCAATGAGGCAGGTATATTGGTGCATGTCTGTAATCCTAGTGGCTGGGGAGGCTGAGGCAGGAGGATTGCAAGTTCAAAGCCAGCCTCAGCAACTTAGCAAAGTGCTAAGTGACTTAGCAAGACCCCATCTCAAATTAAATGAAATAAATAAAAGAGCTGGGGTTATGGCTCAGTGGTTAAGTATCCCTGGGTTCACTTCCCCAGTTCCAATAAATAAATGAACAAATAAATAAAATAAAAATTATAAACTATTTTTTTCTATGCAAAAGAATATTCCATGACTGATATCTAGTTAAAATCACTGAAATTTGAATCTCCAGTGCTTAACTTCCAGAAAAGTTTCTCAATAGACTTTGTAATAATATTACCTTCAATGTAAAATAGATTTTTGATGAAAAAAAGACATGCTATATAAGATGGCCATCCTAATAAGCCTTCATTTTTTTAAGGTATCAATACTAATGCACACTTGCTTATGTAGTCTCCCAATTCTGGGTACAAAACTATATATAATATTAAAACATGCTTGAATGCTTTGATAACTATACACATGAAAAATTCATTTTATATTAAATTCTACTCAGTTGTAGATGTCGCCATGTTCATGAAGTAGTTTTTCTTCTGACTTTTCAATTTTCTACCCTGTACTTTTTTTTTTATTAAATACTCATTTCCAGGCATGCCAACATTGATCAATCAGAGCACTAAGAGAACTAATATACATTCAGGTCAGTTATACTTTTACAGAGTCTCACCTGAGGTCATAGGCTTTTCAAATTTTTTCTAAATCCTCTCTAGAGAAAAAGAAATATCATGCAAATATTTTTCCCACAAAAGTAGAATTTAATGTTATTGTTAATAAATAATGACAATGTTTTAGGGCTGACTGCCTCACAGCTTGTAGTATAAATTCTAACTTTTACTTGAGTTTGTGTTCATATATGTAAGCATTTGGAGGCATTTCTRTTTTGTAGAAAGTATGTATTATGTATCATTCTCATTTGATCTTTACATGAGAATTCTTTCTATATAATTCAACACAACTGTATAAGCGTCTATTACATAATAAGATCTCTTGGGTTCCAGAGAAATCAACATGAGTAATACACAGGAACTACCCCTGAAAGTACAAAAATATAGTCTGTTTAAGAGAAAAAATATTTGCTTCAAACCCCATTTTAGAATAATTTTGTTTATTGGTTAAAATTATTTTCACGGCTTCCTATATATCAAAATTCTTTTTGCTCAAAGTATTGAGAGTGATTCAAATACTTGTAAGGTACATGGCCCCTTCTTTCTCACAGTTTGTAGTTTGTTGATAATCAGAGAAAATGCATGATAATTAAAACAATAATTCCATTTAGAATTTCTATAACATTTGTGTTATATGCCTTTCACTTCACAATAATTATTGTAGTCTTTTGTGAAATTGTGATAATTATTTTATTGTGCATCATTTACTTAATATCATAAATTAATTTTAACATATTATTTTCCCTCCCCCAAAAGTTCTCCAAATCTCCAAAGCAAGGATTATAATTTCTTAAATGCTCTTATATTTTTCCCCTTAAGTTTATCAGTGATTTTCACTTGGTGTTGAAATTTAAGAATACTGGCTTTAAAGAGTTATTATTAATAAAGAAAATCTATTTCAAAATCTTTCAAATAAGGACAGAATATTATTTCAAAATTACTTTAAAAAGAATTTTTAATTAACTAATTCATAATAAAATGCTGACATGTTATTCATTTGGTTATATTTAAAAATTTACTACAGGTCTTTATAAAACTTGACTTCTTTATTTACTACAGGTGAAACTGTTATGAAGACTTTTCTCTTTTATCCATTTATCTTCTAAGTAAAAAATATGGGTCTAAACCCAAGTGTAAATAGTGGTAAAAACAAGACTGCAAATATATTTATTTTATATGAGAATTTGGGATAGGAAATCTCCACTCATTTTTTTTCTTTCCCAAACTTTAGTTATTATCCATATGCTTAACAGTAGTGACCAAGAGAACACACACCTATCCCCACTTACACACCAACAAATAAACTTTCTATGAATGATACCAGTCAGCTAAAATAGTTAATTCATTTTTTCAGTTTTTTTTAACTTGTCTTAAAACTTTGAAATTCTCACTAAATCTTAATCTCTACTTGCCCAAGATTTACTAATCTCATTTTTGTTTGTTGTGTAGTTTTAATGTAACACTTTCTTCTATCTGTTTTTTATCTATTGAACTCAAATCCGTTTAATCCAAATGCCGAAACAATGCTATTATGATTTTATTTGAAATTTTCTTGAGGTAAGTGTAGATTCAAATTCAATTGCATGCAATCATACTTAGAACTTATTAAGCACGTTGTTATTTTCTCCCCATGGTAACTTCTTGCAAAACTATAATGTAGAATCAATACCAAGAGATTCGCATTGATACTATCCACAGATATCAATCACATTATTTTGTTTTTTTTTTCACTCACATTATTTTGGACTTCTTTGTATAGAAGTGTTTGTGGACATGTGTATTTTCAGTTCTATGCAATGTGGTCCTTTGTGTGAGTTCATGAATCTATCAAAATACTGAACCAATGCACACATGTTGGAAATCCTTCTTGTTGACCTTTTAAAACCATATCCACTTCTTTCAGGAACAACTCTATTCCATTAAAACAAACAAACAAACAAACATGGAATCCATTAATCTGTCCTCCATTTCTAACATTTTTGCTATTTTAAAAAATTTTTTTGAATGGAATTATACAGCATGTGACTTTTAGTTTGGAATCTTTTTTCCCCCACTCAGAATAATTCTCTAGCAATAAATACAGGTTGATGTATGCTTTCAATTTGTTAATTTTGATTGCATAGTGATATTCTGTGGTATATATGCACCATCTCTTGAAGAACATCTGACTGATTCCTGTATTTGCTTTTGCAATCAACATTTGTGAACAACTATGAGCATTTGTGTATATATTTTGGTGTAGAAATAAATTTTCATTCTCCTGGGCTAAATCCCAAAAGTATAATCACTGGTTCTATTATGATAATTATATGTTTAGTTTTACAAGAAATTGCTGAACTCTTTTCCAGAGTAACTATATTATTGTGTATTCCTATGAGCTACAGAAGTCATTCAGTTCCTCCACATCTTCATCAGCATTTGATGTATTCATTTTTATATATATATTTATTTTTTAGTTGTGGTTGAATAAAATACTTCTATTTTATTTGTTTACTTTTATGTGGTGTTGAGGATCGAACCCAGGGCCTCTTACATGCTAGGCAAGTGCTCTACCATGGAGCCCCAGCCCCAGCCCCCGCCTCCATGTATTCCTTTGCTAGTCATTTTGAATAGGTAGATGGTGTATCTTATTGTGATTTTCATTTGAATTTTTCTGATAGCTAATGCTATTCAACATCTTTTCATGTGCTTATTTACCTGTCATACTGTTTTAAAGTTTTCCACTGACTCCAGAACTCATACTATTTGTCAAAATCATAATTTTGTTCAGTTTTTTCTGATGAAGAAAGTGAGTAGATAATAATGCTGTGAGAAAAAATACTCAAATTCTCAGCTCAGTCTTCAAAAGCATTTATAATCTGGCTCTCAAAAGTTTGTTCAGTTTTAATGATTAATTGTTCCAATATGTACATTAGGCATTATATAAGTTTACAACCAGGAACTAGGAAGCAATGCAAAGTAAAAAATGTGATTTCTCAACATACTACACCTGAAAGTTCCTAGGAATAATGAGAGTAAATAATGATTTAAAAAGTGACATTTACTAAAATATATTAATTTTTATAACTGATAGACATTTTAGTATAGTATGTTGCATTACTTCAAACTTTGCTTCTCGGTGTTTTCAAAATATTCCTCAGCTCTTTTTTCAATATTACATCAGCAACTGACTAATTTTTAACAAATATACATAAGTAAATGGGAAACAAGAATGCCTAAATATTCATATTTTTAAAGAATATAAATTTAACAATATGTTAAAATGGAAATCATGGCTCATATTAGACCTAATTTTTTCCCAGCACCAAATAAGTGTAAAGAAATTGACAGCCCTGTAAATTCTATCTTTTCATCTTAGTTAAATTAAGAATGGTAATATTAATGCCCTCAGAGCAAACAAAATCCTGATGAATTTTTTTCTATTAGAAAGCTCATAACTTAATCATTACAAGTGAAATTTTCAATAATTAAGAATTACCAAAGAACTTAGAAAATTATTAATTAAAAAATTAACAAATTAAAATGTATTTTTAAAATTATTCATCTTTTTAATTGCATATTATACAAAAAATCTGATTTCAGTGTAAATTAGATAAAAACATAGAAATACTTATAAAATTAAGCATTAATTAGAATTACTCAATACTTTCACAAAATGTATTGATTTAAACATTTGAAAATTTTGACATAATATTAGTTATTATAATGTATGACATTTTCACATACATAAGTGTRTTTTAACCCATTGTTAAATTAGCTCTTATTTAATAATTAGCTCTTGAATAATGACATTTATTAAAAATAAATCATTTGACACTACCAGGAACCTTGTTTGCAAATTTAATACTTTTCTTAGTTTCAGGTTTCCCCATTTTCATCTCTACTTCTGATTAATCATGCCTTCTTCTTTTAGAACCATATCTGTGAGGGTTACCAAATTGTCACATTGAGGCCAGAAATATTTCTTGTCATCAGGTTAGAAGGGCTTTTGAATGCTAGACTGAATTTTGGAATGTGCTTCCATAGGTACTAGGAATCTGAAAATATCTTGGTCAGGGAAACATAATCAAAGTTATGTTTTTTGATATTTAATATACATACAGAGGAGAGAAAAAATACTACAAACACTCTTACAAGATTTTAAACATATAGATTTGAATCAAAGAAATTAATAATTAGATAAAATAAAGTGATACATGAGGTACATCGAAAGGAATGTAAAAAAGTTTGGTTATTAAAGGACAAGTAAAGGTTAAGAAAGAATTAATATAGTTAAACTAGAAAGAGATCAAATCAGTTGGTTTATTGTTTTGATTCATGTCTTATTTGTTGATGTGTTTTTGTTAATGCCTGTGGGGCTGGACTTAGTATACGCCTTAATATTAAACATTATTCTTATGTGGCAGTAAATACAAATGAGGGGGAAAGGTGAAAAGTAGAGCAATGCTTTAGAGAGAAATAAGCATTGGAGTTACGAATTTTTCATGTCACCTGATACCTGGAGCAAAGAAGTATCTATGAAAGGGAGTGAGAAAGAGAAGCAGGGAGAGAAAAAGATAGAGGTGAGAAGGATCAGGAATGAGTCTTCAGCAAGTTCACTCACTTGGAAGATGGGAGTGAGAATGTAGAATCAACAAAAATTACAAAGCAGTGCTTCAAAGGGGCAAAACCAACCATCTTGTCAAATGCCATAGGCAGCAAGAAGAATACTGATTCTACAATGAAATATATATGTTACATAGAGTAAAATTTCTTATTACAATACTGTGTAAGGTAAAATGAGCACTAATTGAGTTTAGCAACTATCATGTAAAAMACAATAAATAAACCTCAAAGGCAGAAGAAAAGTTGCACAGAGAATTTAATAACTTGACTTTCACAAGATCAGGCTTATTCCATATAACCCAGTTAAGATGCTGACAAATAGGAAATAATAAGAATGGTAAATAAAGCAGGAGATAATAAATGGAAATCACATTCACTGTGTATTTAAGGCTGTCAGTAAAGCATTATGCTAAGTGTTTTCTATTATTATTTCTAATCTTAGCGGAAAGATAATGATCCAGAAAAAAATATTTTTATTTGAAGATTAAGGAATGAAGCTTTAGAAGATAAAATAACTTCCTTGGCCTATATGTCCATTAAATGTTGGACATTTTTTTTTCAAATTCAGGTTGAGCATCAAAATATTTACATAAAATAATTTACTTTTTCCTTTTAAATGGAGATAATTCTCAGGCTAGTAAGTTGTAAAGAAATAGTCTATAATGGAAAAAATAGCCTCACCTGAAGGAAAGTCTTTAAAGAACCAAGATCTTTGGAGAGAAAGAAGTAGTTAGGTAAAGCAGAACAAGATGACAGACACATTGATGGTTAATGCTAGATGACCGGAACACTCTATTGTATAAAGTGTGGCCTTTAAAAATGCACAAAGTGGGAATGGATTAACACACTGAGAAAATAAGAAATACTATCATTGTGGAGGTGATTTTATTTGGAAATTAAAGAATGAATAAAGGGCATTCAAGCAGCAGTTTCAACCCATTCAAAGTAATATTGAACTTATATAACATTGAACCAAGTCTGCATGGTTTTCTTTAGATTGGTGTCCTCTATGGGGGTGGAGGGAGAAGGTGGTGAGTGAAGAAATAGGTAACTGAGAATAGCAATTGTAGAAATAATCCAATGTTAGAAATTAATAGAGTAAATCCTGGGTGATGGGATAATTTTTCCTTACCCTGTTTATACTACACCACAATAACCAAGTTATTTATTAGAAATCTCAGCATCAGAGAACAGGAGAAATCCAGGTAAAGATATATAGAATTGAAACTATTATCACCAGAAGAAAAGAGAAAGTAAAGACATAGACTTATTTTCTAAATAGCAGATATAACAACTAGCAGTTGATAATATTTGGCTCTGAAGATTGGTCCAAAATGGTGTCTATATAGATCAGGACAAAAAAAGAGATAAGAATGTGAATGTCAAATAAAAAWTATTTTTTTATATCCATTCTTTTTCAAAAAGTGATGTAAATGATATAATGAATAGTATAGGTTTCTTAAAGTTTAAAATTTCTGCCTTCATAATTTTCAAAAAATAACCCTACTCATAAAATATACTTCATGATTATATTCTGGTTGAAATTATGTTGTTAAAATTATATTTTTAATATTGGTGTTTTATTTAACTTTGATGAGGTTATAGTCACATTATTTGGATTTTCAGAGAAAAAAAGAATAATCTAATCAGATTTTTTTTTCTAGAGAACAGTGGCATCAAACTCTAGAAATGTCAAATTGCATATATTAATACCGTCCTATTTAGATTAAGGTGTTAAAAGTTATTGAAGATGTTCCATTTTATCTTGTAAATTTTAGGTCCCTCAATGAATTCTATGCAAACAATATACATTCATTTTTTATGATGACAAGGAAATAGTCAGTGGCTTAGTAATGCTTTTGAATTTCTATTTGGAGAGTAAATATTTTCTCCTGAAGATGCCTTTTCAATTACAGATTTTTGAGAAGGGACATTATGGGGAAATCTTGGCCAAGGGTGTGTGAATTGCTTAAGCCATGAATTGATCACTGACTATTAAGTAGGTCTTACTTTGAATACATATGATCACTTTAACCACAAGCTTCCTTTTCTGTGTCTCCTATCAGCAGTTGCAGCCTCCAGTGATCAAAGCCAGATTCCTATAATTGCTGTGTCTGTGACAGTGGGAGTCATTTTGTTGGCAGTGGTTATCGGCTTCCTTCTCAGTGGAAGGTAAGATAGGAAGCTGTGATTCTGAACTTTTGCAGCTGATCTCTTCCTTACCTTGATCTGACCATTTGGCTGTTAGGCACATCCCAACACAAATCAGGCAGCAGTACATAGGTAAATAACTTCAATGTATGATGTATTTCTTAGGCCTTGTCTTGTCCATATTAGTGCTAATTTTTAAGCACACAATTTCTCTTTTTTAGGTATATTGTCTTCATAGGAGTAGTATTATCTTGTTATTGCTTCTTCCAGTATTAATGAATCTCTATCTGTTCTTCAAATATAGATTTTTTTTTAATTCTGAAATTTTTTTCCCTTTCAAAAGTGTATGTCTTTGCCTGTTTCAATTAGGGTTTCGGAAGATCTATGACTGTTCCTCAGAGATTTTTGAGGAATAGGGTTACTAATTCTATAAAGCAGATATTCTGGCAAATAAGCATTTGGCAAAATTTCTGAACATTTTCAGCGACTACTTTTCTTTTCAGCTTCTGCAGGATTTCAACTTGTGTACGTCAATCGTGTTATATACTGACTTGGAGTGAATTGCATTGAGTGTTGTATTAAGAGATACATGAAATACATGAATACATGTATTTCATGTCTACATTTTTCATTTTGAAATAAAAGAGGTAGATTCCAACAGGAAGTTTTCTAGAGGTACTTCCTGATTTTGGACTAAGTATAATCAACCTTCCTTAAAAATAAAATATAAATAAGTAAATAAATAATAAGTAGGCTCTATTCCTATAACAAACATTTTTATTTTTCCATCTTTTTCATGCAGGCTATTTTTTTAGGAAAAGATACTCAGTAGTGAGAGCTGTCCATTTGAAAATTTATTTTGGTATTGTATTTGATCATTTTAGAAAAGTTGTTGAAAGTCTTTATGGAAATATTTAAACCTTACAAAAATGTGCAAACCTAGTAATACTAGAAGGTCAACAAAAAAAGTCAGAAAATCAGCTTTTCATATTGATTTTGTTACTGTTCTCCTCATATACCATTTATTCTCTATAAGCTGTTCAACTCACAAAAATACAGAATTAAGCATTTTTCAATATACTGTAACCTGTGTCCTAAAAAGATTTATGACTATATTCTTAAAACCAGGGAAAACACTTTGTCTTCATAATATTGCTAGTCCCCTTGAACTTGCTTTTTCTTTGTATCTGAAAATTCTATTTTTTTTCTAGTCTTTGTTCATTTAAGTGTTCAAAGTTTTCTAAAGACTATATGTTGTAATCCATTACTTACTTTTAATGTTAGAAAAGTAATTTATGCATTTTCAGAACTTCTAAGAGGGAGTCAACTTGTGTTCTGTTAAGAACAGATAAGCCCAGCCAAGCCCAACCCTGGGCTCTCTTTTGTCCCTCTTATCCTCCCTCTGAAGATACCTGAGGAGAATTCCTAACTAGTGTCCTTCATTTCTGGAAAATAAGCAGAGTTACCCTTTTTTTTGAATGGGTAATTATTTTTTAAACTATTTTTTTGAAAGGATAACAAGTTTCACCAAAACAAAAACAAAAACATAATCAAATAAATCAAATGCACTTGTTTTACATAGAATATTTTGCATGAAATTTCCAGTACTTAATCTTAGATGCATAGGAGACTAAGGCAAGAGGATCACAAGCTAAGGTTCAATCTGGGCAACTTGGCTGGATCATCTCAAAATAAAAATAAAAAAGTGCTGGGAATACGGCTCAGTGACAGAGTGTTTCCCTAGCATGAATGAGGCTCTGGGTTTGATCCTCAATAACAAAGAAAAAAAATTACTGTGTTGTATTGTATGTACATTTTTGGATTTTAAGGAGAAGTTGTGGTATGATAGACATGTCTGTGCTATTGTAGTTACTTTTCATGGAAAATTGTATTATATACATACACTTATTCCAAACCTCAATGATATGGTTCTTTGAGGACTTTCCCAGTTTCACTTAAGGTAATGAACTGGAATTTTTGTCTGGACATACTCGTAGCCACCTTGTACTACCTAGATTTTTCTCAATTAACTCAGTTAACATTTATCAAATAAAAGGATTTCTCAATTAATTCAGTTAACATTTATCAAATAAAAGGAAAACTAAATGAAAATATGTCCAAAACCTAATACAAATTTGGGAAACCTGAGTTCTAGCAAATTATTGACAACTTCCTTCCCTATTAAAGGTATAAGGTTGTGGAATTATTTATGTTTCTTCCTCTCTCTCCTAAATCATGACTGATAAACATACATACGTATAAAAATAATGACATGAAGACTATCTTCTTTGTTTGAAATATCCACTTTTAGTCTCTCGAATAAGATAACATAATCAGGTATTTGCCTCTAAGTAATATATTTTTAATTAAAAATAATCTGATTTTTCATTTGTAATATAAATAACTTATTTTCATTGTAATATATAGAAAAAACTGATATCACTTTTATGTTACATTCATTGACAATTTATAGCACCATTTGAGCCCACAGAAGATATTTCTTGAAAATGCATATTCACTGACAACTTGTATCTTTATTCAGACCAAAGAAATAATAATTGTAGGCTATTATAGCTTGAATAATGTAGAACTAATCTATTTCAAAGAAAAAAATCAACTTTATAAAATTCTAAAATATACTCAAGGATGAAAAATAAATAAAATTTAGAGATTTTTCTAATCTTTTTTAGGCTTAAGATGATTGTGTTTAAGTGCTTAGGGAATCTTCCTACCTAGATGCAGTTCAATACAACATAGACAAGTATTAATCTTGATAAAGAATGTCTAATTTTGAAAAATAGCAAAGTGATCATCCCTTTTAAAGTTTTAAGTCTTGCTTAAACTCACTTTTGGTAGAGTTCAAAATTTTCTTTTCACAACTTTCTTTCCCATTAATTTTTAATTTTTTTTCATGAGATTGCAAAATTATTTGACAAAGCCTCAACAAACTATGTCTAATCACCCTAGGATGATTACAAATTAAACCTCTTGATACGTTCAGCATGTTGTAATTGTTCTTTGATCTTTCTCTTTTATTGGTATTGACCTTGAACATTGGTAAGTTTCTTATATCCTAATTTGGTGGGTTTTTGTCCTTTTAGACACACTATTATATATATATATATACATATGCATATCTGTATATATGTATATAATTTGTTTAGTCAACCAGTTTTTTTTAGATTCTCATCTCCTCAGTCTTCTAATTAAATTTTTGAAAGAGGGTTTTGCTGTATCTTCCCCTTTCTTTTTATTTCCTTCAATTAGATTTACTTTTTTTCTTTGTGTTTGTATATCAAGCTGAAGGTTTACATTCTGAATATTGATTACTAGATGTTCCTTATTCTAACATAAAACTCATATTAAAAGGAATTAGAAAATACAAAAATTAAAACACCTTCTAGTGTAGGGAAGAGCTTTCTTCCTTGAAACTTACTTGATATAGACTTTATGGGATTAAACATTTTCTAATATTGTGTTTCTGATCCCTTATTTATCCTGTTTGTGAATTTCATTATACCCTAAGAAAATTTCAAAGTTTGATCTTTGTTTTCAATTAATTTCACAGATATACTCAGAGGCAAAATACACACAGATTACACACATGTACTCCCACCTATGTTTGTCTATGCTCTTGCACATAAACAGCAAACACTTCAAGATTTTTCTAATCTTCAAATTGGAAACAACAACAATAAAACAAACAAACAAACAAGAAACAGCTTATGAAGTGGAGAAAGAAGGATTTCTTTTTATTGGTTGTCCTTAGACATGATTTTAAGACTTCTGTTGTGTGATTTTTATGCTATGATATTTCCAACACAATAACTTTAGCCTGGAAGGTGGCTTAATGCCTATAAAAATATTATTCTGTAGGCAAATAATTTTCCCTTGTTTGTCCTAGTCATGTTCAGATCCTGTACTTGGACTTAAACTGCTAACTCCTATCTCCCTCTGTTTCCCATTCAATAATAGAAAATCATTCCATTGAAATATCTCATAGTTTCCTGGGGCAAAAATTCATCAGAAGCCCACAGACATTGTATTTGGAGATTATGTCAACCATGTCAGAAATTGTTTTAAACAAGTAGTTTTATATAAAACATTGATTCCTTTTTTTATTACTTGAATATAATGTTAACATTTTGTCTTTTAAAATTATTTCAAGTCCATTGAATTAAAACATCTTGTTATTTCAAGTTCTTTCAATTAAAATAGATGTAAGTGGCATGTTCTTCACAATCATCCATTACCCAGATTTATTGAGCACCTATTATATATGAACACCTAAATAAAACTTGTGCACTGAGAATAAAAAAGTAATGTCCTTTCCTCAAAATGGAATTTTATTGTATTGTAATTTTATTGTAGTAGCTTTATGTGTTGAAGGAATTTCAAAGAACACAATTAAATGGGGCTAATGAAAAGAATTTTTCAATAAAATTGGAGTAATTCTCTTTATGGTAACATTTTTTCAATTTTGTCCAAAATTATGGTCTGCTCTACTTTGAGAAATATTTGATTTCTGATTATATACCTTGAAGAGCTTGCATTTTAAAGGAAAAAAACAATGGTTTGAGAGTAAAATTTCTTGGCCAAGGAAATATTTTTTAAGTTCATTTGAACCTGAATAAAATAATTATTCAGGTGTTTTGAATGCTTAATTAGGCAAATACCAGAGCTCTGCCTCCATCTGATAGTAAAGTATCACACTTTCTTAAGCAAGTGCTTTTTAAAGGGAATAAATTATTCCTAAACCTTCAGAGAATCTCCTTTAATGCAAGTGGCAGGGTAATAATGTTAACAATAATAAGTATAGTCTAACATCAATTATGCATGACCTACTACAAGGTACTGTTCTAAGGGTTTTACATATATTTCACAACTATGCCATGGCTCAGTACTCTATTTCTGTCTCCGATTTATAGCTGACAAAATTATCTTTTTGCTCTTCCTTGATTATTTTAAGTAAGGTCCTAATTTACCATCCCCGCCTTAGCTATTCCTGCTGCCTAACTCCT